GATGCGGCTCAACAGCTGGCGGATTTGGCTTTGGGAGAGCGGCAAGCAATTCCAACTACGGTGATCAAGGGTACCATAGGCAACTTAAGTGAATTTTCGTTGGAAGACAATTGGTCTATGTGGTTTGAGCGTTTCCAGCAGTACTGCGAGGTTAATGAGGTCTCGAACAACAAACACGTGCCTTTGTTCCTAACACTAATGGGGAAGGAGGCTTATGAGCTCCTTCGTAATTTGTGCTCGCCTGAGCTACCTATGTCTCTCCCCTTGCCCCAGCTAGAAAAGACTATGAGGGAGCACCTCCAGCCTGCCCCGTGCATCATCATGGAAAGGTATAAATTCAAAGAGTGCAGGCAGCAACAAGGGGAGGATGTTAAGACTTACCTGGCGAATCTCAAAAAACTGTCCAAGGAGTGTAATTTCGGTGCAGGGTTAGAAGATTACCTGCGCGATCAGTTTGTCTGGGGTATTGCGAGTGAGGCAATTCAGAAGAGGCTACTGGGAGAAAAAGATCTCTCATATCAAAAGGCATATGACATCGCACAGTCCATGGAGGCAGCAGGCCGTGACGCTGCACGAATGCAGACGAAAACGGGAGCGGATGCACTAAACTACATTAAGGATAAAAGGCGAGCGACCCAAGGGCAGAAGAAGGGACCAAGCGAGCAAGAGAAATGTTTTTGCTGCGGAAGGGCTAACCATCGCAGGTCGGAATGTCGCTACAAGGACTATAGATGCAAACAATGCGGTAAGGTGGGACACCTTCAGGCGATGTGCAAAAACAAGGACAAGGATACCCCCATTCCCGGAAATCAAGGTAGGCAGCGTGTTAAAAAAGCAAGTGACGAGCGGCAAGATTTCGTAGAAGAAGAAGAAGACGGTGAAATAGGTTCGTTAAGTGAAGTGTGGGACTCAGTTTTTTGCATGCATGAGGGGTACGCGTCTGTAAATAAAAGTAGTGAGCCGTTGTATGTGAGTGTGAGTGTTGAGGGCAAGCCGTTACGTTTCGAAATGGACACCGGCTCCCCTATTTCTGCGATTTCCGAGAAAATTTATAACGAGCATGTTTTCTTGCGTGAACTGTCGATGGGTAGTACAAAACGTATTTTCAAAACATACCACGAGCAAAGGCTGATTCCTATAGGTATACTTAATGTAAACGTTAAACGTTTTGATAAAGCGGTGGATCTCGAACTTTTTGTTATGCCAGGTGGCGCGAAAACACCTATAATGGGCCGCGAATGGCTACGTGCGTTAGGAATAATAGGAATTCAAGATCCTTTTGATCTCAATAACATTGATATTAATTCTGTAAGGGAAAGCAAGGAATCGATTAATACGATTATTCATAGGTTTAGTGATGTTTTTTCAAATGAGATGGGCTTATACAAGGGTGGAAAGTTTACATTGCACGTCAAGCCGGATACCATTCCTATATTCTGTAAAGTGCGGTCTGTGCCTTTTGCGCTGCGTAGTAGGTTAGAAGACAAGATTCAAAGGTTAGAGAAGGCTAAGATTATTGAACCGATTAAGAGTAGTGATTGGGCCACCCCGGTAGTTCCAGTACTTAAATCTAGTGGACAAATCCGTTTGTGCGGGGACTACAAAATTTCCTTGAATCCAAATTTGATTGTAGATAAATATCCGATTCCTCGAGTTGCCGATATGTTGTCTAGTTTGGAGGGCGGGAAGTTTTTTTCGAAGCTCGATTTGGCACATGCATATCAGCAAATCGAGCTCGATGAAAAGTCAAAAAATTTGACCACAGTCACTACACACAAAGGCCTTTATAGATATAACAGACTTCCTTACGGTATAGCTTCGGCTCCCGGACTTTTTCAGAGAGAAATGGAAAAGGTTTTAAATGGAATGCACGGTGTCTCTGTTTATTTTGATGATGTCTTTATATCCGGCAAGACGCAAGAGCAGCACGACAAAAGATTGCTCGAAGTTTTAAGTCGATTTCAAAAAACGAATTTGAAGGTTAAAATAGGAAAGTGTGAGTTTTCACAAAATAAAATCCAATTCTTAGGTTATGAACTAACGGAACAAGGCTTAAGTGTTGCAAAAAATAAGATTGACGCAATCCTAAAAATGAAAACTCCATCACATATTAAAGAATTGCGGTCTTTTATCGGTGCTCTTACGTATAATGCTAGGTTTATTAAGAATTTTGCCATGTTAATGAGCCCGTTGTATAGACTATTGAAGAAGGATGTGGAGTGGCACTGGACCCCGGAACACGATAGGGCTTTTGAAGAGGCCAAAAATAGATGAGTCTCGCAGGATGTTCTCTGCGTTATAATTCTGACTTACCTGTAAAGATTAGATGTGATGCCTCACCCTGCGGGCTTGGAGCCGTGTTTTTCCACATTTTTCCAAGCGGCGAAACCAAAACAATAGCGTATGCGTCTAGGGTACTAAGTCCGGCAGAAAAAAATTATTCCCAACTAGACAGGGAAGCCTTAGCGATTGTTTTTGGTGTTAAGTCGTTTCATCAATACGTGTACGGTCGCAGTTTCGAACTTGAAACTGACCATAAGCCATTGTCCTACATTTTTAACAAGAAAAAAGGCATTCCCCAGATGGCTGCAAGTCGTGTACAGCGCTGGGCCGTTTTCTTGTCTGGCTATGATTTTAATATTAGACACATCAAGGGGACAGAAAATGGACCAGCTGACGCGCTATCTAGAGTTTTAACTAATGATATTAATACTTGTAAAAACCAAATTGATGAGGCAAACTATAGTTTTCTTAATTTTGTAACGGATGAAGCGGAATGGATCGATATTGACATTGTTCGAAATGAAACACTTAAAGACCCCGTTTTGAGTCAAGTTTGCGAATTTTTGAGGCAAGGCTGGCCCGCAAAAATCAATGAACAATTACAGCCTTTTAAAAATAGACAGCTCGAACTGGCCATTGAAAATGAATGCATTCTATGGGGCCATAGATTAGTCATCCCAATGAGCTTACAGGTAATAATTTTAAAAGAATTACATGAAGCTCACATGGGAATTGTTAAGATGAAGGCGCTTGCTCGGTCTCACGTCTGGTGGCCAGGCATTGACAAGGCAATCAAAAATACGGTCAAATCATGTGACCTCTGTTTACGGTTAAATAGCGACCCCCCTCGCGCGTTACTTCACGTCTGGAAATGGCCTGACGCACCGAACCAGCGCATTCATGTAGATTTCTGCGGTCCAATCGAAGGATATATGTATATAGTGATCACGGATGCGTATTCGAAATGGGTAGATATTCGTGAGCTGCCAAACATTACGGCGAACACCACCATTAAGATTCTGAAGGAATATATAAGTATATGGGGTTTGCCAGGAACGATCGTTACAGATAACGGACCGACTTTTACGTCGGAAGAGTTCAAGGTTTTTCTCGGAAAAAATAACATTAAACACCTACGATCAGCACCATATCACCCCGCTTCGAATGGCGCAGCCGAGAATGCCGTAAAAACTTTTAAAACTAAATTCAAATTGCTGAGTAAAAAATTGTCTCACCACAACGCACTATATAAGTATTTATTTGTTTATCGCACAACACCACATTGTACGACCGGATGTACTCCCGCCTATTTACAGATGGGAAGAGAATTAAAGACTAGATTAGGCACCCTCGAGACGTCAGTGCGAGCCAAGGTAGAAAATAACCAGATAAAACAAAAATTGTTTTTTAAGGGTAACCGCACCCAAGAATTTGATATTAAGGATTCTGTTATGGCCAAAGATGTTACGGGAAATCAATGGCGAAAGGCTNCTAACTCAGGAGCTGAAATAATTTTTTTTTTAGTTGGATTGTATCTCTTCGAAAAATAATATTTTTCTTTGAAATTTTTACAGCGTACACATCGGTTGCTTATCTTCTTAATAAATAAATCCCATACAAAAGTTGCTGGCTGTTATTGCATAACGGCATTAGAAATAGTAATGACTTTCCCATCGATAACGGAGGATTCGCAAGTGATGACGTCACTGCTCTACAGAGGCGCGCAGATATCTTTCTGTCCGCTTTAAAAACAAACCAGCCATAAAAAATTGCATTATCTCACCGGTCTTAGTATCCTACCACGAACAACGTATTCAGGAAGTACAGGTTAAAGAAGTATTTATGAAACTTGTACTATAATTAAAAAGTTTTACAGTTAACAGAGAAATATCTTTAAAGAATGATAAATGTCATTTATATGATTATTGTGTAGTATGTAAAAAAATAATGTAAGTTCATTGTGATAAAAAATCTAATTGCGAGATTTCTTTATAGCATACTAGCGGCCCCCCGTCTCAGCTTCGCCTGAGACTTACTAAATGGAACACCGTAGTGTGTTAACATGTAATGTGAAACGTTTTCAGTTAGAAATTTTACATCTATTACTGACACTTCTCACAAAAAAAATCTTCTTATTAAAAAATATATTGGTTCGGAATCCACACAGTTTATTTAGTCAAATAATAAGCTGTTAAAATTAAAAAAAATATAATTATGCTGAAAAGTACCGTGCGTTCCTTATGCCATAAAATAATCGTTGGTCATAAGGGGCCGTTGATTTGCAGTTTCTCCCGTATAATTTACGAAAAGGGCTATTTTTNTTAATTACCAGAGCAACAAAGTCCTGGGGCTAAATCTCTACATTTTTTATCGCCACAAAAATACAATTACATTTACTACTTATTTAAAAATCTGAATGATTTAAGAGGTTACCGTGAGGGTACAATTAAAAGCTGATCTCTCACGTAATGGATTCTTTATTTCTCGATTTAGACGCTGCTGTTCCAATCTCGATAAATTTTCTGCATCAGTTTCTTGACGCCTGAAATCATATTTATTAGATACATTTGAAGTTTTTCTTCCAATTCACCGTCTTGCGACTTTTGGCATGCTTAAAACTTTTGTGACCCATAAAGGCTATTTTCTGTCACTTTGTTACGTTCTAATATATTCGTTGGCAAGGTAGTTCGACGTCCGATTGCCCTGAAAAAGACCGGTGATCTTATTAAGTATACTCTTTCTTGACTGCAGTTACCAGCAATTGTGACTGCCTGGATATCTCAGGGTGATCTTCTCTGGCCTGCTGTTGAAGACCCAGACTGATCGGGAGAAAAATTACAAGGTCCGAAGCTTTGGAACTATTTTTAGTGCTCTTTCCTAACGTCTTCTGGTATAACGTCGAAGACGTTGGTGTCTAAAGCACCTTTTTTTTGCAGACTCAGTTGTTTTGGTGATCTAAGGTGGAGAGATTAGTAGAGATTGGTTCGTGATGCTTGCCCGTTGGCTCAAGTTTTTTTCCCTTCATAGCTGCTAGGTTCGCCCAGCACAGACCTTGGAGAAGATAAGTGATTCCTGGTTAAATGCTTAGAGTCGAGAGGATAATAGGTATAGGGTCGTCGGTCACCGGGTTTTCCAGCCTTGCGAAGAACAACTTCGCAGGTGACGTCTGCTAGCGAATGGCTGACTTGATTTAATAGTGGCCGTTTTTAGTTAACATAGTCTTTTAGTCGACGAATCGCTTCCGGAAATGGTAGTAATAATGTACTTGTTGGCAAGGTAGTTTAAATTTAGGGGTCCCTTAAAAGAACCGATGAGATTTATGGTTAAGTAGGAAACGTAAATACTTATAATGGCCCTTTTCAGGGCCAGTAGTGACACTTCCAGTCATTCCTCATTATGATTCTTGATAATGAAGAGCCAGCTGCGGGTAGCTTGACTCTTATCCTTTGAGTCTCTGTGTACGGAGACTGTACTGGAGGGAGGTACGTCGCTGACCAAAGAATATCTCTTCTTCAAGTCGTTCCCCGGTTAACCAACCGCTCATCGTTAGTCGGGAAAGTGGGCCTAGAGAATACCTTTCCTGTGGGTATGCCGTTGGGACAACCACTGAGAAGGAAGCCGTTGTAGCTGCCCGTGCTCCTCAGGGCCGTCTCCCCTGGCTTACGTTTGTAGTAAAAAATTCTCTGTCGGCATCAGGCTGGATGGTGACGGTCACATAACTCTGAAGTGTTGGTGCAGATTGTGCTTTAGCTAGATACGTCTCTTGGTATTCCGCCGGAGACGTTATCGGTTTGAATAATTATTTATTGGTTGCACTCGTCAATCCTGGAGGTTCAGGGTGGAAGTAGACCTAGGTCACTTGTCCATTGGAGAAGAGTTTCAACGGTAACCGGGATGCCCAGCTGCACGACTATCATCTACATTCTCGATGCAGCTCGACGAACTGCCGCTAGACGACTGCAGAAATTTTAGTTTTTAGTTAGTTTTTAAAAGCACTTAAGTTGGAAGATAACTGTTTACAGATATAGATGCTAGTGTACGCGGTTGCACACCAGCTTACAATCAGAGTAACAAAGTTTGAAGGTAAAGTAGGCACCCATGTTGTCTACTAGCCATATACAGGATGTGTAGCTTATTATTCGATGAGAACAGTTTGTCGCGTGTTATTGTATATACATACGAAGTGTAGCATACAACTATGGAAAAGCTTATTAAAAAAAATCATATAGATTTGTTTTACTTAAAATTAGCCTTAAATTTAACAATATATATATATACACTGTACACAAGTATTGCTTGCTCGGCACTATTTATCAAATCATGACATAAGTATGTGATGTGGTAGTTTATGTTTGATTTTGAACGGAGCATTTGTGTGATTATATTTCCCCATGTTTTCAAGGGCTTTTAAATTAGTAGTCTGAAAAATGAAAAAAGTTTTTGTGAGATCTAAAACTCGTTTTTTAATAGATTCAATAGCTAAGTTGTTTTTGTATATCTTTGTTTCTTGTTCGCGGTTTAGCATTTGTGATTATTCGTAGAAATTTATTTTGATATATTTGCAGAGACTTGAAGTTACTTTTACATGTCGAGCTCCATACTAGAGCAGCATTTAACACTAATGGTCTAATTATGGTTTTATATATTTTTTAATTTATTCTTTACAGATAGATGACTCTTTCTCCTTTTTAAGTTATAGAGTAAGGCTTTTGACATATTGCCTTTTTTAATAATGTGTTTGATATGTTCTATAAAATTTAATTTATTATCTAGAGTTACTCCCAGGTATTTAACTACTTTAACTGGTTCAATTTTTGTACCATTCATATGTATTTGATATGTTTTTTCTGCGTTTGTTCTCTTGGAAAAAATAATTAATTCAGTTTTGCTCTCATTTATTTTGATTTTCCATAATTCATAGTAGGGCATTAGTACGTCAATGAGTCTTTGAAAATATTCAAGTGCTTTGGGTGTGTTCCAAGATGAAGAAAAAAATACGGAGTCATCAGCAAAAAAAGCCCTTTTGGTATTTTCTGTTGTGAGCAAGTCATTTATCGATTTATATATAGGATAAATAACAAAGGGCCTAGGATGGAGCCTTATGGTACGCTTGTTACTATATGTCTTCGTTTGGATTTAACATCTTTTATTGTCACTCTGAATTTCCTACCAGTTAAGTAGTTTTTTATTATTTTTATTAAGTAGTCAGGTATGTTAGTTTGATTGAGTTTGAAGATAAACCCATTATGCCAGATCGTGTCAAAGGCTTTTTCTATATCTAGAAGAACCCTTGCTGTAATTTTGTTTTTATTAAAATTTTCAGCAACATGATTTGTTATGCTGACTAGCTATTGCACCGTGTTATGGCCTGCCCTAAATCTGAACTGCTCACCAACTAGAGTTTGATCGCGTGTTATATGATCTGTTAGTCTGTTGAATACAATTTTTTCAAAAACTTTGCTAGATGTGGTAAGTAAGCTAATAGGCCTATAGTTGGATGGTAATTTGTTATCTTTGCTGGGCTTAGGGAAGGCCAGGACACTAGCCAGCTTCCATTTGTTTGGGAAATACGACAGTTTAAGTGCAGCATTAAATATATTTACTAGCATCACCATTGCTTTTTTTGGTAAGTTTTTTAGCAAGATATTTTGAATACCATCATAACCTGGTGCTTTTTTGGCCTTTAGTTTTTTGAGAATCGTGTGTAGTTCTGATGTGGATACGTACTTTATTGAGTCAAAGTCTATTATTTTTTCATTAATCTCTTTAACTTTTGTATCCACCAGGTTTTGATGGTGTTCATTTACAACTATATGAGTTAGGTGATGTACTTTATCAAAGTGATCTGCCAGAGCCTCAGCTTTATCTACATCAGAACAGGTTATGCCAGCAGAAGTTTGTGTTGCGTATGTGCATCGAGCGTACCTATACTAACAGCGCTACCTAGTGTGACTAGCTTGTAATGCGCGACACCACCTGCCCGACGATGTGGCCGTGCGTGGCCAGCAGATAGCCATAAGCAGCCTGCTAGAGCGTACGTGCCAAGCCTGTACTCACAAGCCTGTACAATTAATAAATACATTTTACATTATTATTGTGTACCTTGTCTCTCATTTTTATTAGTTAAAACATAACAGTGGCGACGAGGATAAAAAAGTAAAAAAAAAAAAAAAAATAAGAGTGCTGTGCAACAAAAACCGGAAGGGGTTTTGACGTGACCGTGAAAGGCTAAAGAGCGACGAAATGTATAAAGGGAAGCCGTTGAACAGCCTTACTCCTGAAGAGTGGGAGCAATTCACAGAAGACGTAGTAGCGCAACAGAAAACTAATGAACGTGAAAAGGAAAGGCTAAAAGATGAGAGACAGGAGATGGATGCGGCTCAACAGCTGGCGAATTTGGCTTTGGGAGAGCGGCAAGCAATTCCAACTACGGTGATCAAGGGTACCATAGGCAAATTAAGTGAATTTTCGTTGGAAGACAATTGGTCTATGTGGTTTGAGCGTTTCCAGCAGTACTGCGAGGTTAATGAGGTCTCGAACAACAAACACGTGCCTTTGTTCCTAACACTAATGGGGAAGGAGGCTTATGAGCTCCTTCGTAATTTGTGCTCGCCTGAGCTACCTATGTCTCTCCCCTTGCCCCAGCTAGAAAAGACTATGAGGGAGCACCTCCAGCCTGCCCCGTGCATCATCATGGAAAGGTATAAATTCAAAGAGTGCAGGCAGCAACAAGGGGAGGATGTTAAGACTTACCTGGCGAATCTCAAAAAACTGTCCAAGGAGTGTAATTTCGGTGCAGGGTTAGAAGATTACCTGCGCGATCAGTTTGTCTGGGGTATTGCGAGTGAGGCAATTCAGAAGAGGCTACTGGGAGAAAAAGATCTCTTATATCGAAAGGCATATGACATCGCACAGTCCATGGAGGCAGCAGGCCGTGACGCTGCACGAATGCAGACGAAAACGGGAGCGGATGAACTAAACTACATTAAGGATAAAAGGCGAGCGACCCAAGGGCAGAAGAAGGGACCAAGCGAGCAAGAGAAATGTTTTTGCTGCCGAAGGGCTAACCATCGCAGGTCGGAATGTCGCTACAAGGACTATAAATGCAAACAGTGCGGTAAGGTGGGGCACCTTCAGGCGATGTGCAAAAACAAGGACAAGGATACCCCCATTCCCGGAAATCAAGGTAGGCAGCGTGTTAAAAAAGCAAGTGACGAGCGGCAAGATTTCGTAGAAGAAGAAGACGGTGAAATAGGTTCGTTAAGTGAAGTGTGGGACTCAGTTTTTTGCATGCATGAGGGGTCCGCGTCTGTAAATAAAAGTAGTGAGCCGTTGTATGTGAGTGTGAGTGTTGAGGGCAAGCCGTTACGTTTCGAAATGGATACCGGCTCCACTATTTCTGCGATTTCCGAGAAAATTTATAACGAGCATGTTTTCTTGCGTGAACTGTCGATGGGTAGTACAAAGCGTATTTTCAAAACATACCACGAGCAAAGGCTGATTCCTATAGGTATACTTAATGTAAACGTTAAACGTTTTGATAAAGCGGTGGATCTCGAACTTTTTGTTATGCCAGGTGGCGCGAAAACACCTATAATGGGCCGCGAATGGCTACGTGCGTTAGGAATAATAGGAATTCAAGATCCTTTTGATCTCAATAACATTGATATTAATTCTGTAAGGGAAAGCAAGGAATCGATTAATACGCTTATTCATAGGTTTAGTGATGTTTTTTCAAATGAGATGGGCTTATACAAGGGTGGGAAGTTTACATTGCACGTCAAGCCGGATACCATTCCTATATTCTGTAAAGTGCGGTCTGTGCCTTTTGCGCTGCGTAGTAGGTTAGAGGACGAGATTCAAAGGTTAGAGAAGGCTAAGATTATTGAACCGATTAAGAGTAGTGATTGGGCCACCCCGGTAGTGCCAGTACTTAAATCTAGTGGACAAATCCGTTTGTGCGGGGACTACAAAATTTCCTTGAATCCATATTTGATTGTAGATAAATATCCGATTCCTCGAGTTGCCGATATGTTGTCTAGTTTGGAGGGCGGAAAGTTTTTTTTGAAGTTCGATTTGGCGCATGCATATCAGCAAATTGAGCTCGATGAAAAGTCAAAAAATTTGACCACAGTCACTACACACAAAGGCCTTTATAGATATAACAGACTTCCCTACGGTATAGCTTCGGCTCCTGGACTTTTTCAGAGAGAAATGGAAAAGGTTTTAAATGGAATGCACGGTGTCTCTGTTTATTTTGATGATGTCTTTATATCCGGCAAGACGCAAGAGCAGCACGACAAAAGATTGCTCGAAGTTTTAAGTCGATTTCAAAAAACGAATTTGAAGGTTAAAATAGGAAAGTGTGAGTTTTCACAAAATAAAATCCAATTCTTAGGTTATGAACTAATGGAACAAGGCTTAAGTGTTGCAAAAAATAAGATTGACGCAATCCTAAAAATGAAAACTCCATCACATATTAAAGAATTGCAGTCTTTTATCGGTGCTCTTACGTATAATGCTAGGTTTATTAAGAATTTTGCCATGTTAATGAGCCCGTTGTATAGACTATTGAAGAAGGATGTGGAGTGGCACTGGACCCCGGAACACGATAGGGCTTTTGAAGAGGCCAAAAATAGATTAGTCTCGCAGGATGTTCTCTGCGTTATAATTCTGACTTACCTGTAAAGATTAGATGTGATGCCTCACCCTGCGGGCTTGGAGCCGTGTTTTTCCACATTTTTCCAAGCGGCGAAACCAAAACAATAGCGTATGCGTCTAGGGTACTAAGTCCGGCAGAAAAAAATTATTCCCAACTAGACAGGGAAGCCTTAGCGATTGTTTTTGGTGTTAAGTCGTTTCATCAATACGTGTACGGTCGCAGTTTCGAACTTGAAACTGACCATAAGCCATTGTCCTACATTTTTAACAAGAAAAAAGGCATTCCCCAGATGGCTGCAAGTCGTGTACAGCGCTGGGCCGTTTTCTTGTCTGGCTATGATTTTAATATTAGACACATCAAGGGGACAGAAAATGGACCAGCTGACGCGCTATCTAGAGTTTTAACTAATGATATTAATACTTGTAAAAACCAAATTGATGAGGCAAACTATAGTTTTCTTAATTTTGTAACGGATGAAGCGGAATGGATCGATATTGACATTGTTCGAAATGAAACACTTAAAGACCCCGTTTTGAGTCAAGTTTGCGAATTTTTGAGGCAGGGCTGGCCCGCAAAAATCAATGAACAATTACAGCCTTTTAAAAATAGACAGCTCGAACTGGCCATTGAAAATGAATGCATTCTATGGGGCCATAGATTAGTCATCCCAATGAGCTTACAGGTAATAATTTTAAAAGAATTACATGAAGCTCACATGGGAATTGTTAAGATGAAGGCGCTTGCTCGGTCTCACGTCTGGTGGCCAGGCATTGACAAGGCAATCGAAAATACGGTCAAATCATGTGACCTCTGTTTACGGTTAAATAGCGACCCCCCTCGCGCGTTACTTCACGTCTGGAAATGGCCTGACGCACCGAACCAGCGCATTCATGTAGATTTCTGCGGTCCAATCGAAGGATATATGTATATAGTGATCACGGATGCGTATTCGAAATGGGTAGATATTCGTGAGCTGCCAAACAATACGGCGAACACCACCATTAAGATTCTGAAGGAATATATAAGTATATGGGGTTTGCCAGGAACGATCGTTACAGATAACAGACCGACTTTTACGTCGGAAGAGTTCAAGGTTTTTCTCGAGAAAAATAACATTAAACATCTACGATCAGCACCATATCACCCCGCTTCGAATGGCGCAACCGAGAATGCCGTAAAAACTTTTAAAACTAAATTCAAATTGCTGAGTAAAAAATTATCTCACCACGACGCACTATATAAGTATTTATTTGTTTATCGCACAACACCACATTGCACGACCGGATGTACTCCCGCCTATTTACAGATGGGAAGAGAATTAAAGACTAGATTAGGCACCCTCGAGACGTCAGTGCGAGCCAAGGTAGAAAATAACCAGATAAAACAAAAATTGTTTTTTAAGGGTAACCGCACCCAAGAATTTGATATTAAGGATTCTGTTATGGCCAAAGATGTTACGGGAAATCAATGGCGAAAGGCTGAAGTAATTGATAAGATAAGCCCGGTACTATATAATGTTAAGCTCGACGATAGCAGAATCTGGAGGAGGCATATAGATCAGTTACGAACTTACGAGGATAAATTCAAAGCCCCCACTACCTTCCATAAGGAAATACAGGTGCCACACGTAGCTAAAAACACGCAAGAAAACCTACCTCCTGTTCTACTATCGACGACTCCAATACGCGAGAAGCTACCGATCACTGACGCTCAATCGCTCGAACAACATAACGAACCACCGACGACTGATTCTGTAATCGCGGACGAACCGTCATCTATCGGCGCAAACAGCAGGCCTGCGACCGTTGAACCTAGACGATCATCTCGAGTTCGTAAAGCCCCGCAACGCTTAAATTTATAATGTTGTAAAACTCAAATTAAGTAGGGAGGGTTGTTGCGTATGTGCATCGAGCGTACCTATACTAACAGCGCTACCTAGTGTGACTAGCTTGTAATGCGCGACACCACCTGCCCGACGATGTGGCCGTGCGTGGCCAGCAGATAGCCATAAGCAGCCTGCTAGAGCGTACGTGCCAAGCCTGTACTCACAAGCCTGTACAATTAATAAATACATTTTACATTAATATTGTGTACCTTGTCTCTCATTTTTATTAGTTAAAACACAACAGTTTGTAATGTAGGAATATTATTTTTATTTTTCGTAAAATATGTAGACATTCTCTAGAGTGAATTGTCTTTAACATTCAAATTTTTAAGTTTGTCATTCCAGATGGAATTTTTAAGCATTAAAGTATTGTGTTTAATTTGTTTTCTTAAGTCATTTTTAATTTCATTATACTTTTTGTCACCAGTTCTGTGATATAATTTTTTATATTTGTTTCAAAGCTTAATTAATTCGATAGTTTCATTGTTAAGGTGATTATTGTGAACATTAGAAAAATCTCTTGGTATAGCTGTGTCTCTAGCCACCAATGTTGTACTTGTTAATTTTTCTATTGCTAAATCAACATCGTTTTTTGTCTTAACTTTATCAATACTATTTAAATTATCATTAATTACTTCTCTATATTTGTTCCAATCAGCTTGACTAAAATTAAACTAAAATTTCTTGTTTTTCTTATAAGTACATAGCAAGTTAATATTTAGTAATACTGGTACATGGTTGGAGTCTAATTCAATCTTAGTATGTAAGTTATCACAGTAAGAGACATTTTTTAGTAACTTCAAGTCTATAGTGCTTGGGACTTGGTCATGATTTGATGGATAATGCGTAGGTGTGTCAGTAGCAAGCAATACATACTGTTTATGTTTGAGGTAGTTGTTGAGCTTATTTTCATTAGTGTTGTTAAATTGACAGTTCCAGTTGTAGTGCGTGGAATTTAAGTCTCCCATGATCATGACTGAGTTTCCTTCGTCAAAGAGGTGATCCAGTTCGTCGTCGAGAAGCACATTGGTAGGTTTTAGATATTTAGCTATTAGAATGAGTCCGTTTTGGAGTTTGACTCCTACTGCTTCGATTTCTGTGACCGTAAGAGGAATTTCATTACAAATGATATCATTTTTAACGCAGATCATAACCCCTCCTCCTGCTGTAGGGCGATCCTTTCTAATACACGTGAATCCAGGTATCAAGCATTTTGTTTTAGAGTTGAATTTTGTTTCTGATATCATTACAATATCAATTTTATGACAGTGTATAAAGTGTTTTAGTTTAATGAGTTTCTCCTTCAAGCCATTTGCATTCCACTGCATTATTGTTATTTTTGAGCAATTTCGTTCTTGAATCTTCACTGAAAAGTTAAATGATAGCTGACACTTTGTCAGCTTTTGTTGTAGCAGATTGGAGTTTTTGGTTTAAGGTTTTGAAGGAGGTTAGGATTTCTGAAAGTTTGCACATTTGGTTTAATTTCTTGACTTCCTCTTTGATTTGTAGATATAGTTTAATAGTGTCAGCCACCATGGGCATGTCTTTTTTTCCGAGTACAGAGCATTTGTTTCATTTTTAAAAGGTAGATTGTTCCAAGCATTGAATTTTTGAATTTGTTGTACTCCGACGGTTATTTTGAGTTTCGGGAAGTCTTTCTGGTTTTCTAATTTTGTATATTGTCACTGATTTTGTCTTTTCTTGTTAAGCAATTGCTGTCTTATTTCCTTCATTTTTTCAATGTTTTTTATGTACACTGGGCAGCAAGTGCTGTTTGCTCTATGTTCTCCTTCGCAGTTTACGCAGTAAGCTTTTTGCTCACTGGTTTTCGTGCATTTGTCTGTGGTATGCTTTTGATTGCATTTGACACATCTTGGTAGTAGGGTATAGTTGTTGGATCCATGATCAAATTGTTGACATCGATGGCATTGCGTTCTCCCTTTGGGGTTTTTGTAGTTTTTCCATCTGATTTTGACATTCAGTATACTTTTGATTTTACGTACTTCGTTTACCTTTATGTCCTTGTGTAGTGCTACCATATATACCGGGCTAGTCAAGACAAGGGTAGCCTTACTATCAAGATTAGTTTTACTTTTTAATTTGGAAATTTTATCAGTTTTTATTCCCTAGTCTAGCAAATCTTGACTAATATCCTTTTCATCCAGATGTGGGAGTCCTTTTACAACCAGCTTGGCAGTTTTGTCTTGCGGTAGTGTGTATGTGTAGAATCGAGCTTTGAATTCTGTAAGTCGATTTTTAAGTTCATTACAATCATTTAGTGTCTGTGTAAAGACTTTGAGCCTCTGGTTGGTAATTTTAAGCGCGAACTCGCTTTTAAGGAATGATTTTAGCGTTTTACAATTACTGGCATAGTGTTATTGTGCGTCTAGTGTATTAACAGGAGGTATTTTAACTTTTCCTGGCTTACGCACTTTGGCTTCCTTTCCCTGTGAAGATTGGCTTTGTGCACGTAAATTGTCACACGTGGGATTTTTGAGGTTATCCTCTTGGCTAATTTCCTCTTTCATTTGTAGTGGGCCGAATTGGTTAGTTATTGTGATGCTAAATTGTATTTTGCTAGTTCTGGGTTTTTTATCAGAAGTTATTTAACTTTCGTTAACGGTAGAACCGTTTTGTGAACTCTGTACTGTTTTACGGTCCCACATAACGGGGTCGCCCATGCCTCACCTCTCGTACGATGTGGAGATTTCTATTCGACACGTCCATGCGGCACGAGTGTTCCACCGTAACTCCAGCAGAAATTTTGAGACGCTCCAGCCTATTATAACCACACTTATTTTATTCTGTTGCAGATAGCTTCGATTTCAAGTTGACGCCAGCTAGTGGATCCTACTGAACTAAAGTGAAAAGCTGGCGTATTTTTGCAAAACTTTGAGCTTATTTATTGCTATTGTTATTAAATTTTTCGAGATACAAACTAAACTAAAAGCATCTTGAAGTGTCAAGAATCGGTATGCCAAATTTCAGCGAAATCGGTTCAGTAGTTTTCGCGGTTAGCGATTACAACGGTTTTAGCGACTTTGCTTTATATTTTAGTAAGATAAGATAAGATAACTGAACATCTCATTGTTCTGTACAATAAATAAAAATCTACGCCTATTGAATTAATATTACAATTTTCTGTCACTAAATAATATTAAATAACGTGAGACGAATACGTCTGAAAACTTTTATGTTCTAAATATACACAAAAACAGTAATTTTCAACTAATCTAAAGTCTAAAACAATGATTTCATAACACTTCATGTTTACCGGCTTGTCGTATAAGCGTTTTTGCAATTTACTTTTTTGTAAGAAAATTATTGTATAATTAGAAAGCTTAAGCATGTCGGAACCAACTACAATAGTTAAATTATTTATATTGAACATACGTTATAATGCAAATTTAAAAGAGTACATGAAAGTCAAAGTAGTAGTATATAAATAAAACTAAGTAAATTCAAGAAAGTAAAGTTTCTCACAAGATTCTTTGATAAAATCATTATCTGTTCGTTGGTGTGTAAAAATTATCGGGGGCGAAGCCCCACTAAAACACACATAGTTGTAAATTTAAAATCCCTTCAATAATTCCTCTACTCTAAGGCCCCACAACATTTTACTACTATATTAGCAGAAACTAAAAAAGGTTTTAAGACAGTAAAAATACAGAAATTAAGATACAGGTTAATCATCAGGAACTGAGGTACCCGAACAATAATAGTGTCTGTTTTTTCCAAACTTTTTATTCTTTAGTCATATAATGCGTACTATAATCTGATTCGGGGACCATAGGCTCCCACTGAAAAATCAGCTGTTTTGTGTTTATATAATTTTTCTAAAAGTTGTAAAGGTTACTTGAAGACACAATGGAAAGTATAAGAAGTATAGATGTAAAAGATTGTTTGACATTTTTGTTCTCCTCTTCATTTTCTTCGTCATCCAGTTTATCTTATGTTGACACGTTCTGCACCATTTCTTGATCTTGAAGAGTTTGATTTTTCGGAACTGATATTTATGAAGCGTTCGATGAAAAAAACGAAAGGAATAGTGCAAAAAATTTTGAATTAACTATGGAAAGATTTAACGATGCAGAATTTACAAGTCATTTAAGAATTACTCAAGATGTTTTAAATATCAGCTGATCAAATCGTATGTTGATTCTGATTATTGCAAAGCTTTGATAAGTAGAAAGAATTATTAGTATCAAATTTAAAAATCCGTTTTTAAAACAAATATATTTAGATTTCATTTATTTAATTAATTTATGAAACATGTAAAGCTGAAGTCATTGCAGAAAGAAATGTATGAATATACTGGTTCATCGTATATTAAGTTGCATTGTAAAAGGAAGTGACCAACATATATCAAAAAGCAACTCGTTTGACATAATATCTACCCAGTCAGATTTTGTTCGAAGTCTAGCTCCAATGTTTATAAAGTGGCTTAGCGATGAAGAGTCTGGATACTAAATCACACTATCTACAGAAATATAACTCTCTGGATGTTATTGGATGAATAGATGAAACACATATCAAGATTTACAGGGCTAAGGAGAGTCCTAACAGTTACTAAAGCAGAAAATATTATTTTTCATTTCAACTGCAAATCGTGTTCTGCTATAATCTCTACATCATCTATACATGTACGCTGGATACCCTGGCTTAGTGCGCGATGCTAGAAGCATTCAAAAACTACTCTGTGTATAAAAGAGTGACCGAGACTTATTTCAGTACCTAATTATGTTTTACTTATTCAAGATTTAGAGAATACACATCAGTACACTCATAATATAATTATGTAAAAAAAATCTATATAAATGGACATTTACTTTGTGATGCAGCTTCTCTTTGTATAAATAGCTCAATATGTTTTTTAAATATAATGGTCATACAGAAAAAGTTGGTAGAAAGTTTTATCAATATCCATCCCAATTGGCAGTATCTGTGGAATATACAATTAGAATTCTAAAACAAAG